AATAAATAAATAAATAAATAAATAAATAAATAAATAAATAAATGCATGCATGCATGCATGCATGCATGCATGTAGTATTTGATTTAAAAAAAATCAAACTAAAATTATATGTAAAGCTATATATTGTTAAATATACTCCAATAAAATCATATACTAGAATAATTTTCTAGAAAACTTTATTTTCAGGAAACAAACTGATTATATACCCCAAAAAGCTAGAAAAAGGAAACAAAATTTAAAAATAGTAAAGTCAATAAATACAAAAATCTAAATTAATGAAGTAAGAAAGGTAAAAATTGGGATAGATAGAAAACACATAGCCTTTGTAAAAAACCCTCTAAAACTGATAAACTTTCATCAGGTCTGAGAAGAAAAAAGAGGCAAGGGAATGTACATGTAAACAATACTGGGGATAAGAAACGCTTAAAACGGAAGTAAAGAACATGCAAGAGTATCACGTTTTATCCACATTAATTTGAAAATCTACATAATCTGAAGATTATTTTAAAATTACATTTGAATTTATTTATTTTATGTGTGTATGTGGAGTGGGTGCATCTGCCACCGCCCTTGTGTGGAGGTCAGAGGACAACTTGCAGGTGTCAGCTCTCTCCTTCTACCATGTGGGTCTCAGGGATCAACCTCAGGTCATCAGGCTTGGCATCAGCTGCATTTACCCACTGAGACATCTTTCTGGCCCCTGAATGATTATTTTTAGCAGAATACAAATTACCAATTTAGTTTAATAAAAGGTAAACTATCTTATCTTGTTTGGAGCTCCAAACAAGAGAAAATAGGTGATAGTCAAGAGATGAACACTGCTCCTCAAAGAGATCGCTTTGTGGAATTGATTCAGCTTTTGCTTTTATTGTTTTCTGACAGTGCTGGGAGTTGAACTGAAGGCCTCCTACATGCTGGGTAAGTGTTTGACTGCTGACCTATCAATTCTATCAATTCTTTTGCAAACAGTTTCAGAATATGGGAAAAAGAAAGGCTCATTTTTTTCTAACCTACATATTTTTTTCTAATCTACATCTGATCTATAGTATACCAGAAGCCGAACTATAAGAATGTTAACCCAAATACAGGCAACTTTTCAGCATCATGTCAAGAGAGCAATGACTGGGCTGGGGAGAAGATGGCTCAGCAGGTAAAGGTGCTTGTTGTGCAAGCCTGACGTTCTGGGTTCAATTTCCAGAACCTATGTAAAGCAAACAGACAGACAGACAGATGTGATAGCAAGTATGTATAATGCCAGCACTCTTACACTGAGATGTGAGGTGACAGCAGGACTGGATGGACTTCTGTCTCCAGCAACAGAAACAAGATTCTGCCTCAGGAAAAAGGTGAAAGGTGAGAACTGACTCCCAAAAGTTGTCCTCTGACCTCCACATTCATGCACATGTGTATACACATAATAATTAGAAATTTTCAAGAAAGAAAGAGGCAGAGAGAGAGAGAGAAATAGAGAGAGAAAGAATGTATGTGCTGTGATATGTACAAGTTCCAGGCAACATGGTACCTTGTGAAACACAGGCTACTTGAATTATCAAATCACAGTCAAGATGACAGTACAGTCACACTATATTACAAATAGAATTTCTGTAGTATAAGGGTGATATAATGCTAATAAATATTTACACACAATACATATTTACATGTTAGAAAAATACAATTTGACATATTGAAAAATTTTTTTTTAAATGTGATATCCATGTCAAAGCTTTTAAAATTCAAATTAAACTGAGACTGGAAGAAAATAAACACCCTCTTACTATAATTAAAAGTATTTTGTAGCCAGGAGGGTGGCACACACCTTTAATCCCAGCACTCGGGAGGCAGAGGCAGGTGGATCTCTGTGAGTTCAAGGCCACCCTGGTCTACATAGCAAGTTCCAGGCCAGTTGGGGCTACAGGGAGATCCGGTCTCAAAAAAGACAAAAAAAAAAAAGTATTTTGTAGACAAGAACTACAAAAATTATACACTAATAACATTAGAATCTTTCTTACAAGGTCAGGGGCAGGAAAGATAAAAGAATAAAAAAGAAATCACACACATACACGTGTATATAAGGAGGAAAATAAAAGGACAAAATGTCATTTTCTGATAGTTAAGAAAGTTCAACAGATTAGGGTGGTTGTATGCAAAATATAAGAATAACTTTACTTATACATCAGCAAAATGAAGTTTAAACAATTAGCTGGGGTTCTTTTGGTTGTAGAAGAAAAATCAAACCTGAACAAGCCTAGACAAAGAGGGATACAGAAAAATAGACTCCAAGGCCATTAGCGCTCTCTCTCTCTCTCTCTCTCTCTCTCTCTCTCTCTCTCTCTTCCCCCCCATCCCTGCCTTTCTCTATACAGACTGGCTTTCTTCATAGAGCTGCAAGCACAGGCATAGTAGAAAATCAACTTTCATTTTCAGTAGGAAAAAAATCCTGAAGAGCTCTGCTTTGCTCACCCCTAACCTAAACTCACTACACAGTGGTCCATCATACAGGATGTGATGGCTCTGGCCATGACCATGTGGTATTACGAAAAAATCAGTTCTTACAGAAGTGGTGCTGAGCAGAACATTTTTTTGTTTGTTTTTGAGACAGGGTCTCCTTATGTAATCCATGCTAGCCTCAATTTTATAATCCTCCTGCCTCTACCAGAGTGCAGGGACCACAGGCCTGCATCATATACCCATCTCCCGAGTAGGGACAGCTTACTTTTTTATCTTTTTTTTTTTTTTTTTTTTTTTGGTCTTTTTGAGACAGGGTCTCCCTGTAGCCCCAGCTGTCCTGGAACTCACTATGTAGACCAGGCTGGCCTTTAACTCACAGAGCCTCTGCCTCCTAAGTGCTGGGATTAAAGGCGTGCGCCACCACGCCCGGCCATTGTTTTTTATCTTTCTGCTAAAACAACAAACAAAACAAAACCACCAGTGTTCGTGGATTGGAAGATTTAATATTGTTAAAATGGCACTGAGCCCCCAAATTATCTTCTAGATTTAACAAAATCCCTATCAAAATCTCTGCTGTTTTTTGTTAATGCATAAGAAGCCGACCCTAAAACTCAAATGGAATGTAAGTGACTCAGAATAGTCTTCTAGAAGAAGAAGTTGGGAAACTTACCTTTCTTATTTTCAAAACAGAACAAAGCTAGAGAAATCAAGACTGGTGCTACTGGGAATTCAGAACTGAAGCCTCATACTTATGGTTAACTAATTTCAACAAGAGGGCAAAAATATCTCTATGGAAAGAGAATCTTTCCAATGAATGGTGCTGGGACAGCTGGATAGCTTATGCAGAAGACTGAAGTTGGATGCCTACCTCCAATAGCGTATATACAAATTGACTTAAGATGGACCAAGAACCTAAATGTAAGAGTAAAGCTATTAAATTCTTAGAAGTGGCTGGGTGTGGTGGCACACGCCTTTAGTCCCAGCACTTGGGAGGCAGAGGCAGATGGATCTTTGTG